GCGTGGCGGCCAAGAATACAAGTGAATATCTTGTTTCTCATCGAAAAACGTTTCTTATCCTGAACAAGAGAGTGAGTTTGGTTTAAAGACGCTTTTAACAGCATTTTAACTATCGCCTGGCTCGTCAGCTTGATGTTGGAAGAAAGCCTGCAGTGGTACACGCTCATCGATACCTTTATCCACATTAAACAGTGCTCTATGACGGTGTGTGAATATATGGTTAGTGGTTGTGCATCAGAGATAGACTAACGCTTAGTCTCTGAATATATTCAATTTTAATAGTAACAAATGAACCCATTTAGATTGAAAAGGAGTCCCAGTGAGATTGGAGATTCAGAACCTGAAGGAATATAGATTTACTGTATTTTGGGCTTTAGCGTTGCAGGGAAGGCTAGTAAGTAGTGAAAATAATGTGGTTCAGGGACTGTGAGACTGCATCAGAGATAGAGGGACTATTGCCCTCGTACGTTAGTCACCAGGCTATACCACTGCCTTGGCAACACAAAATTCACCCACGGAATAAGTCAATCTGAATCAAATGTAGCATACATCGATAAACATGGAATTGCTTCACTTGAATACTATAAAAATACAATGCAGGATATATAAATAATGCAACGATACGTCACCGAATACACTGGGCTGTATTTTGCAGTATTTACTGTTTTAGCTCAGGTTTTTACCTTTCACCGAGATACATAAATGTTATTTTTTATTGGAATTACTTTGACATTGGTAATTACCTTTTTTCATTATCTAATTCCAATAGGGCTGCCAATCATTAAACCGTTCCTACGCCCCTGTGTTGAGATTCGAACCCAGGACGTCGGTGTTACTATCGAAACTAACCGAGCCAACTTAAATTGAAAACCACGTTCACGGGCGTGGTCCTGACAAACCTAGCAATGCCACCCTAGAACGTATAAATATTTTATGGCTAATTTGACGTCTATGCACATTGTCACTGTGGCCAACACTTTCCCTACATGCCACTGATTACATGACGCGGGTTCGAATCCCACTGGTGGTACTAATCACCTTACCCAGTATTATCGTCTACCTCAATGTCAAGCTGTCAAAATAGTCTGGCATATTTAGCTGAAGTCCTTAAAAAATAAGCATTCATAAAAAAACACAAAAAAATCCACAAGTAAACAGTGAGACGATTGTAAGAAAGTTTAGACGCATCGCTTCATTTGACACTAATTCGGTTATACCGCGGCTTATCAGCTCCGGTAACTCGGTTATATCACGGTGTATCAGTTCATGCAGAAGCAAAGCCAGTCGTGGCTCAGGTCTTAGGTATTTATGACTTTGGTGAAACTCGCGAAAAGATGCTGACATCTGATAAAATAGATAGAATCTTCCAAACCATGACCAGCGGGTCCTGGTAGGACAAAGAACCATAACTCTGCAAGGCAAAGCGCCCGTCTGAGATAGATTTACATTACTATATAATCAGCGACTGACGTATTACGTGTGAATGGGTTTATAAGTTCAATGTGGTTGACTCTGGAATATAATCACATGGTTGAATGAGTGAGTGAGTTTAGTTTTACGCAGCTTTTAGCAATATTCCAGCAATATCACGGTGGGTGACACCAGAAATGGGCTTCACACATTTTACCCATATGGGGAATCGAACCCTGGCTTTCGGCGTGACCAGCGAACGCGTTAACCTTTAGGCTACCCCACCGCCCCCATGGCTGAGTGAGTGAAATTGATTAAACGCACTTTGACCCTTATTTTAGTGTGTCAGCTTGATATGGGATGCAAGCTAAGGCAATGCACGTCTTAATCTTTAGACGACTACCACTTTGTTGAAAATGACGAGTACGAGTATGGAGCTGACAAACTTAATAATACAAGGCGATTCGGGAACTCATGATCGCAGGTTCCTGTAGCGCGTAAGGGACTCAACTCTGCACAACAAATTGCGGCGGCTTAGAAAACTGATCCACAGGTAAAGGTCTTTCAATTAGATGTTAACATTATCCAATGATATTTATTATGTTGATTCCAAGTGCCCTATTTTTCACTGTTCCAATAAACATACTGGGCCTTCCATAATGGATATTTTTATCACAAAGAGCAGTGACGATTATGAAGTTGGAACTATGCGCATGCGTGTTTAAGTCTGCAGTAATTGCTGGCTTTGTATGTCATCCCACGGATGAGGAAAGGAGTTATCATTTCCGTTCGTTTGACAGAGGAGTATGTTTAGATTGGCGTGCCAGGAAAACACCACTTAGTTTGATTTGCTTGACAATAAAAGTGCCTACGGTATCTCCTTGGCGCACCAAACGTTATACGCTACGAGAAAGTGATCATTTACGAGCACGAGATCTCGCGAGATGAAAAGAAGAAAGTTGTCATGAATTGAGGGGACTCAATAAAATTCTCATTTCCGACGCAAAAAAGTTTGCTTAAATCGAGCAAGGTGACAGCGACGGGCCCTGCATACATCGAGGACTTACAAAACTTGACGCTTGCTGGAAATTATGAAAAAAACGAAATGAGTTAAAGACAGCGTAGGAAACGGATCAGGAGCAAAAGTCGAAAGTAATTACAGAGTCCAAAAATTTCGAATTATTAACGGAAATTATTCTGCCACTGAGACCCCCTGAACTGAAAACTCAAATTATTATTTTGTTATTAATGCTTCCTTAAAGTGGAAAGAGTTAAAATTTTAAACTTATGCGGCAATTTAAAGACATGTTTAAGAAGAAAGCTATTACATTTTTTAAAGTCGATAATTACCCTGATCAAACACTAAGTCGAAGGCCCTGGTTCGAGCCCTATGTGTGAATCTATTGTTGGTGTTCCCCGGGGCGGTGGGGTAGCCTAGTGGTTAAAGCGTGCGCAATATTCCAACAATATCACGGCGGGGGACACCAGAAATGGGCTTCACACATTGTACCCATGTGGGGAATCGAACCCGGGTCTTCAGTGTCACGAGCGAACGCTTTAATTATTTGGCTACCCCACCGCCCCCTAGCAAGTTTGAAGTTGTTTATACACCAAGTTTATTTAAGTGGAAATTCCAATGACATCATGCCTTTCTGTCAGTTAAATTCATCACACGGTAAAACTTTGTCAGTGTTACACGGGACAGTAGGTGCAACTGTTAGATCTTGACTGTCGTTACTCCTTGAGCTATCGATTTTAATCTTCATTAAAAGGTAGTGTTCAGAAAGCGATTTTTTAATCACTTTACTAAATTATGTAGCGCACTTACTAGGTGAATGGATATAAATTGAGGGTTTTGTGCAAACATGTGACTAGCATGTGATTGTTGAGTTGTTTCTAAATTGCGGACTGAGAAATATGGATTAGGAGTCAATTTGAAAGCTATTGTGTTGTATCGAGAGTGGTTAGCTACTATCGCTTTCATGCCACCACCAAATGCCCGTCAATCTAAACTTTCAGAATTCTTCGATTCGTCCGTTGAATAAATCCAACCTTTGTATAATTCAAGATGGACACTATAACATAAGCTGCGATCCCCGTGAGTAAATAAATATACATACATGAAATAAACAGACATGAAATCTACTTTTTGTTGTGTTTTCGGATGTCTCGAAGTTCGGATAACTCGATATTTTTTCTTGGTCCCATGAATATCGAGACAACGGTGCTAAACTGTATTAATAATATAATATTTTAATTATTGATGTTGTTTTACAGATTAAATGCAGATAATGGAGTGAGTGAGTGAGTTTAGTTTTACGCCGCTTTTAGCAATATTCCAGCAATATCACGGCGGGGGACACCGAAAAATGAGCTTCACACATAGTACCCATATGGGGAATCGAACCCGGGTCTTCGGCGTGACGAGCGAACGCTTTAACCATTAGGCTACCCCACCACCCTACAGATAATGGAGCAGAGGGAAGTTCGGGGGTCCTGGAACTGTTATTATTATCATTATTATATTTTACAGATTAAAAATAGATTGCAGCAGAGAGGGTGATCCTGTCACAGTCAGGCTGGTAAGGCTCATCATCAGCTCAGAAACTTTGCCCCCTCAACACGCAGCCCAGACAGCGAATCGGACTTCTCCCAGGAAACGATGCGTAGTCGAACGTTTTGGAGAATATGAAGGCTCCCTAACACAGCAGCCTTATTATCATTGTTATTATAAATAAAATCCTCCTCGTCGTGAATATTCGGGGTTAATCGTCAACATGTGCTTTCCCCTTATTTCTAAAGGATTGTCTTAAAAGAAAAAAATATTCTTTTGCCAGCACGGCGAAAGTTCATATTATTCATGTTTATATTACAAATGGAGTGTTCAATAGCAATTACCCTGTAGTTCAATATCTGTTCAACAAACACATCTCCTGCCAACTGCTGGTGCTATAAACTACACACCCTCCCTCGTCAATATACAAGTACACACTCAGGCCATGCAAATATAGATAAATGCGTTAACGCCGGCTACATACACGGAACTCTACTGCAGCAAGACATCGGCGTGGCATTATTGGAGTTGATGTGGAGGATAAAATACTGGCACACATGGCATTTATGCAACTGTATGAAAGGCATTGAAACGTGAATCTGATTAACTCAAACATTAACACATTAAATACATTATGTGAATTGATGAACTGATGTCATGCAAATGATATGATATTTAAACCATAATAAATCATATGTGGAGAAAATGCCATGTCCACAGAGAGAGAGAGAGAGAGAGAGAGAGAGAGAGAGAGAGAGAGAGAGAGAGAGAGAGAGAGAGAGAGAGAGAGTGGAGAGAGAGAGAGAGAGGGTGAGAGAGAGAGAGAAGTTAGAGAGAGGAAAGTTTGAGTGTGTGAGAGAGAAAGATGAGAAGGAAAAGTGTGTGAGAGGAGAGAGAGAGAGAGAAAGAGAGAAGAAAGTGTGAGCGTGTGTCTCTGAGAGAATAAAGAAAGAGAGAGGGAGAGCGAGAGAGAGAGAGAAATGTGGGTGAGAGAGAGTGAGAGAGAGAGAGAGAGAGAACTGAGAGAGAGTCCTACCTTCGGTGTTTGTCCCCGCGTTGCTAGTCGCTGTACAACAACCCGCTGCCAACTTTGGTAACCGCGCTTGTCCAATTCCAACTTTGAAGAAATTACGAGCGGGTCCTGTGACTTTATATACACACCCAAATCAGACACCGGGAGGACTGGGAGACAGACACCGTGTGATTAATTACAAAAAGTCAATCGTCACTACTTTTGTCTTTATAAAATTCGGCTATTCTTGAGTTGTTCTTGCGTAAAAGTGTTCGTCATCCATCTGTTGTGACCGCGTGGACGAGTGTCGCCGAGTGACTGCCAACAATTGGTGCCAGTGTTTCTTTATTCCCCAATCAGATCGAGGTAAGCCTGTGACGTCACGACCGGGAGCACAATCTTCGCCACTCGTGGTCGTCTCTCACATGCTTAAGTTAATTACCTGACTTGCACGGTGCCAATTAATTTCACTGGGAAAGTGATAAAGAGAGTACAGATTACGGCGGTGTCGGGAGACCGGTCTTAGAGAGTAGAGTGTTTGCGCTTTCTACTCTGCCCACAAGGAAATGTTCTACGTGGTTTCGAAACACCTGAATGGAAATCTTTCATTCTTCAAATCATCAGCTTGGCTGTATCGATTGCGCGTATTGTCAAGGACTTTGGCGCTGCCATACCTGGTACCAGCATGAAAAGAAAACAACACCCACGCTATGTATTACATACCTTTTAGAAATTCAGCATGTGTCAGGGGAGAATTCTGTTTTGTTGAAGAACAATTTTTTTACAATATTTAGAGAACCCATGCTTCGAGTTGTCCCCATAGCAATAAATCTCGCGTCGTGATGTAAATGAAATATTTTTGTTGAAGAGTCAAACCTAACCCAATCACATTACCCATAGCAAACAAATGTCGAACTTAAAATGTACCTCGACGTAGATAACACCTGGCCAGGTTTATAAAAACAGGTAGTAAAACTGTTTAGAAAGTTTAAAACGGGGACGCGGTGACCTTGACATTTAAGGCCGTCGTAACCCGACGTGAAGGATTGCGTCTCATAGTCCAGTAGAAATCCGTTGGTTCGAACCCACGCTGTAAGTGAGTGAATAAGGGAATTTAGTTTTACGCCGCTTTTAGCAATATTACAGCAACATCACGGCGGGGAACTCTGGAAATGGGCTTCACACATTGTGCCCATGTGGGGAATCGAACCCGGGTCTTCGGCGTGACGAGCGAACGCCTTAACCACTAGACTACCCCACCGCTCCCAAGAGGTAAGGTTCTATGGTGGAGCAATTTCGTGTACTTTCTGGTAAGGGCAGCTTACACCCAGACCTAGGAAGGATGGTACAGATAACCAAGTGGCCAGGCTGCAATGTTTTTGTCGCGAGTTCTAATCCCAAAATCTCCTTGATTGTGTTTCTTGGTTTGCCAGCGCCATACAAGTACATGTTTGCTTTTACAGAACGAAGCAAACCTTGAAAATCCTCTGTGCTCCACTGCTCAGCCACAACGTAACCACCCTCCCAACCCCAAACCCGCATATTCAATCTCTCTGCAGGGGTGGTGGGATAGCCTAGTGGTTAAAGCGTTCGCTCATCACGCCGAAGACCCGGGTTCGATTCCCCACATGGGTACAATGTGTGAAGCTCATTTTCGGTGTTCCCCGCCGTGATATTGCTGGAATATTGCTAAAAGCGGCGAAAACCCAAACTTACTCACTCACTCACTCACTCAACTCACTCCCTCTGCAAACATATATCCAGAAGTATTATTATATTAGACCAAATATGTATAAAATGAATATCCTATTTAACACCAAAAAAACTAGGAACTTTAAGAAAACTTTTATTTTTTTGTAAAATAATTATGTCTATATTTAAGAAATAATTTCAATAACTTAATATGTAACTAGCTCGATGTACATTGCACCTTTCATACCGTTTGTATATACTTTTTATGTTGCATAAATGTAAATATTATTTATATACCTCATATGCTGCAGTTTGCAGCCTGAGTGAATAAAAGTACAGTTCAGTTATTGTCGAAAGCAAGAATACCCAAACCAGTACAGCAATACAACATCAAATAACTGTAAAGGTATCGATGTGAGGCGGGGTTCTTGGATCGGGGCGTAGACTTGTAGACTGCTCCTTCAACTCCAACATCAGGGCGACAATAGACACACTCGTGTCACCCGAGCCACGGAGCCATGTGACAATACAGCCTTTCAATTAATGCCATCGATTCTTGTGACAAAGAGGACAACGTGCAACTTCGACCACAGTGTAACAAGGACAAGCATATTAAAGGAGGTGGATCTTATTAAACAAAGAGAACATCGTTCTGGCGTTATCTGTATCAATACGGATCATCAAAGAAGTCTTCCTATTGGACTATAATCTGGAGCTATATTTCATGATGGCAATTTACGTACTTGAATATAGATCTGATGTAATTTGCTGATAATCTTAGCAGAGCATAAGTGAATGGAAAGTGTAATAATTATTGGTAACGATTTCAAAACAATGCCAATCTGGACATTACCAAGCGTTGACTGATTTCTAAATTGGTTTAGGCTACCGTAATATTAAACCATCAGAAACAGTCATAGAAACTGTATTTCAAGTTTTACAGGACCTGGCCTGAGTAACTTCAGTTCATGCATTATTTGGGGCAAAATAATTTGATCGGAAAACAATTGAAAGTAGCACGCCGTATGTTCGCACGCGCTAACACATGTTCACAACACGAACTAAAGATGTGTTGCTGTTCTGACACAACGGAAGCGGATTCTTCTTTTAGAGAGCACATCATGCGATTATTTGAAGCAGCAAATATTCTCTTTCTAACATACACCCGGTATTTCTGAAGAACGCTGATTGAGACTATGAGACGCTACATCATTAACGATGTCTGATCAATCTCCATCTGTAATGGTTGCGGTAAGACAGACGCCCTTGTAGACCTTGTATACCACTGTATATCGAGACTGTCTCCATGGTGGTCTCCTGGCTTTGTCTACTGTATTATATAGACGGTATATATCACTGTTATACAGACTGTCTACACGGTCTCCTGGCTTTATCTGCTGTATCATATAGACGGTATATATCACTGTATATACAGACCGTCTCCATGGTGGTCTCCTGGCTTTGTCTGCTGTATTATATAGACGGTATATATCACTGTTATACAGACTGTCTACACGGCATCCTGGCTTTGTCTCCAATATTATATAGACGGTATATATCACTGTTTATACAGACCGTCTCCATGGTCTCCTGGCTTTATCTGCTGTATCATATAGACGGTATATATCACTGTATATCTAGACCGTCTACACGGTCTCGTGGCTTTGTCTTCTATATTATATAGACGGCATATATCACAGGTTATACAGACCGTCTCCATGGGCTCCTGGCTTTGTCTGCTGTATTATATGGACGGTTTATATCACTGTTATACAGACTGTCTCCATGGTGGTCTCCTGGCTTTGTCTGCTGTATTATATAGACGGCATATATCATTGTTATACAGACTGTCGACACGGTGGTCTCCTGGCTTTGTCTGCTGTATTATATAGACGGTATATATCACTGTTTATACAGACCGTCTCCATGGGCTCCTGGCTTTGTCTGCTGTATTATATAGACGGTATATATCATTGTTATACAGACTGTCTCCATGGTGGTCTCATGGCTTTGTCTACTGTATTATATGGGGGCGCGGTGGGCGAACTGGCTAAAGCGCCAGGCTAGTGATCCAGCGAGCTTGAGGTGCCGGGATCGAGCCCGCCTGTGACCGGGTGTAAAAACCTTGGAGTCAACTTTGTGTGAAGACTCTTTCAGTGTTGTCACAACCCCTAGTGTACAGTACACAACCCTGTGCACTTAAAAGAACCCACGAATCCGTTGGTATATGACCAGATGGTGGCCACATGAATACGTGCAAACACCTAGTTGCGGGTACAGCAACGTACAGTAAACATGGACAAAGTACTGTGACTATGTGTCCCAGTCCACCCAGCTGTAAATGGGTACCTCGTAAGGATGGGAATGCCACACTAACTCGGTGCGCCTTGTGGCTGCAAGAGTTGTATGCTCCCCAGGGAGTTGGATTGACAATACGATGTGCCGTTGAGATTGACATCTAGTGAACGAGGGAAAAACAAAGCGCCTTTGAGCAGCTGAGCTGAGCTGGATATCGGCGCTATACAAATGTTAGTATGTATGTATATGGACGGCATATATCACTGTATATCCAGACTGTCTCCATGGTGGTCTCCTGGCTTTGTCTTCTGTATTATATAGACGGCATATATCACTGTTATACAGACTGTCTACATGGTCTCCATACTTTGCCTTCTGTATTAGGGGCGGTGGGGTAGCCTAGTGGTTAAAGCGTTAGCTCGTCACGCCGAAGACCCGGGTTCGATTCCCCACATGGGCACAATGTGTTAAGCCCATTTCTGATGTCCCCGGCCGTGATATTGCTGGAATATTGCTAAAAGCGGCGTAAAACTAAACTCAGTCAGTCAGTCTTCTGTATTATATAGACGGCATATATCATTGTTATACAGACTGTCTACATGGTCTACATGGTCTCCATACTTTGTCTTCTGTATTAGGGGCGGTGGGGTAGCCTAGTGGTTAAAGCGTTAGCTCGTCACGCCGAAGACCCGGGTTCGATTCCCCACATGGGCACAATGTGTTAAGCCCATTTCTGGTGTCCCCGGCCGTGATATTGCTGGAATATTGCTAAAAGCGGCGTAAAACTAAACTCAGTCCGTCAGTCAGTCTTCTGTATTATATAGACGGCATACATCATTGTTATACAGACTGTCTACATGGTCTCCATACTTTGTCTTCTGTATTAGGGGCGGTGGGGTAGCCTTATGGTTAAAGCGTTAGCTCGTCACGCCGAAGACCCGGGTTCGATTCCCCACATGGGCACAATGTGTTAAGCCCATTTCTGGTGTCCCCGGCCGTGATATTGCTGGAATATTGCTAAAAGCGGCGTAAAACTAAACTCAGTCCGTCAGTCAGTCTTCTGTATTATATAGACGGCATATATCCCTGTTTATACAGAATGTCTCCATGGTGGTCTCATGGCTTTGTCTTCTGTATTATATAGACGGTATATATCATTGTTTACACAGACCGTCTCCATGGGCTCCTGGCTTTGTCTGCTGTATTATATGGACGGCATATATCACTGTATATCCAGACTGTCTCCATGGTGGTCTCCTGGCTTTGTCTGCTGTATTATATAGACGGTATATATCACTGTTTATACAGACCGTGTCCATGGGC